CTTGTTCTGTAATCTTTTGTCTATTTTATTTATTATTTATTTTTACTTTTTACGTGTTTTTCTTAAAAACGAAGTCACAAACACACATATTAGCCTAGGCCTACACAGGGTCAGGATCAGTATCACTGTCTTCCACTTCCACCCTTGTCCCATTGGAGGGTTTTCAGGGGCAGTAACGTGCATGGAGCTGTCATCTCCTACGATAACAAAGCTTTCTTCTGGAATATCTCCTGAAGGACTTGCCTGAGGCTGTTTTATAGTTAACTTTTTTTTAAAAGTAGAAGTAATACCTTATAAAATAACTATAAAAAGTATAGTAGAGTAAATCTATAAAACAGTAACTAATAATTCATTATCAAGTATTATGTACTGTACCTAATTGTATTATGCTATATAGTACTTTTATCCAACTGGCAGTGCAGTATGTTTGTTTATAATAGCATCACCACAAACACCGTAAGTAATGTGTTGTGCTACTATGTTATTGGACTTTTTCAGCTCCATTATAATATTAAGAGACCACTCTCATATATACAGTTCATTGTTGATCAAAATGCCCTTATATAGACTATATATTTATAATCCTATTGTCTGCAAATATGATTTTTATTTCTCTCTTTCAAATATTTTTGCCTTTTTTCTTGCTTATTGTGCTACTGGCTAGGATCCCCAGTACAATGTTGAATATGCATGGGCAGAACAGATATTCTTGTCTTATTCCTGAACCTAGGGAGAAAATAGTCAATATTTCGTCATTAAATATGATGTTAGCTAGTTTTTATGGATAATTTTTATTGGTTTGAGGAAGTTTTCTTCTCTTTCTAGTTTGCTAGGCAGATTTTAAGATAAATCATTGTAGAATTTTGTCCAAACTGTCTTCTACATATAATTTTTTGCCTTTAATCTGATTTTCAAATGTTAAAAAACAAACTTAATTCCTGGAGTTAAACCACACTTGGTTACAGTGTATTATCCTTTCTATATATTGATGGAATCAGTTTTCTAATACTCTGTTCAGAATTTTTGCTACTGTGTTTATGCAGCATATATTTCTGTAATTGTATTTTCTTTTAAAATCCCTGATGGATTTTTCTATCAGTGTTATGATGACTTTATAAAATGAGTTTGAAGTCTTACCTCATTCTCTATTTTCCAAACAAACTTGTGTAATATTTGTAGAATTACTTCTTTAAATATTTGATAAAATTTACCAGTGGAACCATCTGAGCTGCATTTTCTTTGCAGGAAATTTTTTAATTACAAATTTAATTTATTTGATAGATACAGGGTTATTCCAATATTCTACTTCTACCTGTGTCAGTTTTGGTAATTTGTAAGGAATTTATACTTTTTGTCTATTGTTGAATTTATTTGTATAAAGTTGTTCATAATATTCTCTTCTTAAATTATATTTCTCAATATCTGTGGGATTTATGGTGCTATCTCCTATTTCATTCCCAATTTTGGTTATTTGTGACTTTTCTCTCATATTTTTATTAGTCTAGTTGGATATTTATTAATTCTTTCAAGAACCATCATCTAGCTTTCTTGACTTTCCTATTTTCTTCTCAGTTTTAAAAAAAATTTCAATTATG